CACATACATGCACAAGTATACACAGGTATCTACTGTGCCACATGCTAGGAAATATAAATGACTTTAAACTAGAAATTTTACAGAAAATTTTATGTGGCCTCTAGGAATCTATTTTTGTACTAATAGTCCCAAAGTGATTTTTTATTTATACTGATTAAGAAAGTATCCCTTCCCTGTGTAGGTTCTCCAAAGTACAAAATACAGAGTAAACATGCTCACACGGATTCGTGCATCTGCCTGAACAAAAGCATCTGGCAAGACAACTACACACCCTTACAAGAAAATTGGTGGAGTCCTAAGTTACATTTTCTTATTTCCTTGTTATGGGTAATAGAAAGAATATTAAATGGAGTCAGCTTTCTATTTAGAGCTTTAAAAAATCTCGTTCTGGATTTATTTGAGGTTTTGATTTTAATAATGAAAAGTTTTTTTGTGGTGTTTTTTTTTTTTTTTCATAAGGGATGAATGGAGAACTTACACCATTGCCCAGTTTTAAAATATTTATGGTTTAAAAGCTTAAGAGAGAATGATGGAAACCATTAGCTAGTGCCCAGAATGTACTAGGAATTTGGGCCAGTACATAGGTTTTATTTAGCATAAACCACTGCAAACCTTTTTGCTTCCCCCATGAAGTCCTTTTATTTTTTGGACTAAATGTTCAGTTATTTTAAAAGGCAAGGGTATCTTTTTGGGAAGAAAGGTGATTTTTATATTCAATTGATAATAAAAAATGGACTCCTGGCCAGTGTAGCTTATGAGTTAGAGCATTGGCCCTCCCACCAAAGGGTCTTGAGTTCGATTTCTGATCAAGAGGGAGAAGGGACCTGCCCCATCCTGCTTGTCCCTATTGCCCAGCAGCACTTGGTCACCCTGGCGAGGGTAGTACTTCCTGCAGCAGCAGCTGGATTCAGTTTTCAGTTTTTCCAACATTTGCAGAACCATGATCATCTCCTCAAAGATCCCTGCACCAGCCAGTTGAGTCCCTCCACAGACATCTGGGTCTTTCAGGGGCCTGCCATATGCACTCACTCTCCATCCATGGGCCGGGAGGGCGAGTCAGGTGCGTGGTGCCACTCCCCAGCACCTCAGCACAGTCCCAGAAAGCCCCTGCTTCTTGTCCATGTTAGCCTGCTTGGTTCTTGTGATAACTGAATTCTCTTTTGCCTTCCTAATTAAGCAGTTAATATTTCTTTATATGACTCAGTTGAGGATGCTTTATATTCTGTTCTCTCTGTTAACATCACTGCTGGAATTTCTGTCTCCTGACTGGTGAAGAAGGGGCATGAGACGGGAAAGGGAGGTGCCAACACAGGCAGCATTCACCTACTGCCACTGCTGTGGGCAACTGGGGTTCCATCCCCCTGGGGACTGAAGAGACTAAGTAGCACATCTTCAAATGGCCTCAACAGGAGGACAGGAAGCTGGGATCATTCTGCACCAGCTCCCTCCCTTCCTCAGGTGAGGTGGGTCTGGGGCATTGATCCCCTGGCACTTCTGTCTGTAGCACACCAGGTCTGGCACATATCTGCAGCCATAGAACACCTGGTAGGGAGAGAGCCCCTTGGCATGTACAAAACTGTCTATAGGTTACCTCTTGGTGGGCTGAGGAGATAGCTAGAGGGCAGAGGTTGGCAAATGTTTTCTATAAATGGCCTAACTTAATGTACAGCCTCCATTATAACTACTCAACTCGGCCAGTGTAGCGTGGAAGCAGCCATAGACAATAAAAACTAGGCATGGTTATTTCCAATAAAACTCATTCCAAAAGCGGGCAGTGTGCTGGGTTGGGTCCCTGGGCTGTAGTTTGTTGACCCTTGACATAGGGCACGCACCAGCAAAATTCAGTTTACATAACAGACACTGCTAACCTGGCATCTCTTCTTTCTTTCCTCTTTCATGTTGCAAAATTCCACGGAGGTTTCCCCTAAAATTGTTATATTCTAGGTTTGTAGTTGGGATGTTGCTGGTGAATGAAGTCACTTCAAACTCATATGGCATTTGATAATGAAGGGCATCATTCAGGTGCCTTGATTAGTATAAATGCTTGACTCCAATTTCTCATGCTTGGATAAAAGCAAATAGATGCCACAAAAACCAAATAATAGACTTGTTTTATTAAAAGAAGTAGGGCTTTTTAAATGAGATGTATGTTCTCCAAGAAGGTATATCCTTGGCCAATAACGTCACTGTGCTGTGAAATGACTAGTCACAACTGTCCCTTCACCTACATGCCTGTGTCCTTATGACCAGGAGCTTACCAGGTGGCTTATCTGTCAGTAGTTCCAGGACAGGGGCCAAAAGAGAAAAAAACAGGTTGCAGTGTCTACGTTTTGTCCAGGTTGGGGCAGCCCATTGGGTGTCCTCTTTGGTGTAGAGGGACATCTTTGAGCCTGCTATAAGATGGAACAACCTGCCCTGGGATGGTAAGGAGGCTTGACCTGAAGCCTCCATGGTGAAAATAGATGACAGTTAACATTAGACCTAGGAATTCCCAGCCTCATTTGGCTGTTCTGGCATCTCAGACTCTGTGGGCTGAGATCTCTAATTGCCCCCATTCCATCCAAAACCACACAGGACTGAACATGAGGTATTTAGAAAGACATTTTGGGCCAATTGTATTTCTTATGGTCAGTTCATTCTGTTCCCAGATTCACAAACAGTCTCTTCTAAGTTTTAAGAGAAAAATGAAGCTGACAGGCTGGCTTGGAAAACTTGCCTCCGATCAGACCTTAATTCCTGGTCCTTTGTAAATCCAAAACCAAATTCCATCAGATTTTCTTGAACCCAAGGGAAGAATTCTTGGCAATGAAATGCACAAGAGACTATTGGAAGAACTCAAGTACTAAGTTGATTAATTTGCGGTGTAAAGAGGGGCCATCTTTCCTGGAGATGCCTTGCTAGTATCCCTTATGCTGAATACTCCTTTTCTGGTGTAACTGTCCTTGGGAGGCGAAATAAAGCATCAGGAGGCTGTAGGTGGGCATAGAATTAGACCATTGGCAGGAGAATGGTGCTTCAAGGCCCTTGTCTGGGGATGACTTCCCCAGTGTATTGGTTTCTCTCTTCAACAGACTTCAGCTCTTCAGAGACTGGAATTCCCCTTTACAACCAGTCTCTGTGTTTCCCTACAGCCGAACAATGCCAGATACTGTCTGCCTGCATTCACCCCAGACTCTCCGTTTTCCTAACTCCCATGAGCTGAGTGCAGGCCCCTCCTAGCACCCTTTTTGTTGACAGGGAACCACCAGCTGGCTATAATCAAATCTCCTTCGCTGGCCCAGGACACATTCTGTGCTGATGTTATTTCAATCTCCCAGAATTTTTAGAACCTCTTATTTTCTCCCCCAAACTGTTTCTATTCTTGGCTTTTTGATTTTTTAAAAATTTCTATAAAATTAAACTCTTTGTATCTAAGAACTTACTTTGGTGTGAGGGTACTAGTTCCTCTAATTCAGCATTTTTTCTCTCTAAATATAAAATTCTTGGCTATGTTTCCTAAAAGTTTTGTAGTATATGGTTTTCATGTGATCATTGCAACTAATGAAGGCATTGATCACATGAAAATCACTGCTATTAATTTATGTGACAGTAATAATAACATGTAGTGGTAACTCTATAAGAATGGTGTTTTGTTTTGTTTTTAAACTTAATCTTTAAGAAATCAATCTTTGAACTTAAGTATTGAAAAGCAGTTTCTCAGTTTGTCACAAGATTGGACTTGGGACCTTAATATCTTTCAATGTCTGCTTTTAATCATAGGCTCTCTTAAGATTTTGCTAATTGGGTATGATAAGTATTATATCATAGGACACATTTGAAAATTGTTTTTATAATTAAATATAAATATATTAATATTTTATCAACTATTAAGGTTTGTTAGAATAGCATGTAGTCACATAGGCTATAGCTAGTTTATAATACTGTTCATGGTACAATCCATGAAGATGGGTTGCCATGTAAATCAGTACTTAAGAATATGTTTTAAGGGCACTTAAAGCTCTTTTTGTGGGAGAGTCTCTAATACTTATCAACCATCTGTTAGTTGTCCCAGGTGCTTACATTCAGACATGGTTATTGACTAGTATTGGCTGATGCTCTATAGCTGAAGTGATCTTTGCGTCTCCATCAGGCTGAACATAAAAAAGTGGGTAAGAGTCCTCCACACAGATTCTCTTCTGCATGAATTATAGCCACCTGTGTTATGATTACAAACCATAAGATTGGAGATTGAAGCAGCCTGAATCTCTGAGCTACTGCACGGGAGTCACTGAATCCTAAATAGGATTTGTGTAAATAAAAATAAAACTTCATTGTGTTAAACCACTGAGATTCTTGGGCTGTTCATTACTGTAGTATAATTTAGTTTGGCCTAGTGAATATATTCTAGAATATATTTTGACTATGGCCCATGACGCACAATGAGAAATGCATTTTATAATACATTGTGAGCCACTTCACGCACTGACACATCCCTAGAAAATATATTTCAGAAAACAATGCTTATCATTAGTATGTATGGTCTATTTTAGTCTATTACAAAATAGTGGTTTTGCCTTCCTAAATTTATATTATTGCCAGCTTTTGGGATGTAACCTGAGTATTAAAAATGCTGCTATAGGTGTTTGATTTATTTGTGTATGATTGATTTGCTAATTATAAATCTTTCATGAATATTAATGAAAGCAGGCTTTTTAGATCATTTTATTATTTATTTCTAGAATGGCTGGCAGTGTTTTTATGTAATGCATATCACATCCCACAATTTCTGGAAAGTAATGTTTTCTTGTTAAGTTTCCTAATTTACATGTCTTTTAAAATTTGTTTAGAACATTTTGTAATAGGAAGCAATAATGTTATCCTGATTAATCATGATTTATTTTCATTTAAAAAATAAATGACTATAAATGCTTCTTTCATTAGGATCAGGGATGTCATAAAACTTCACTAGCTAGACATATTCTAGTGTTAATACTGGTGCAAAAAATGAAATAGAGACCAAATATTTTTATACAGCACTATATATTTTTATATACTGTATACTCATATCAAAACTTGCCATTTTTATTAAGAAGCTGTAAGTTACTCTCTTAATTTCATAAATTATACCACAACTGTGAAAATATGGACGCTATTTTATATCTTTGCTGCTATATAAGACATTTCATGTTTATACAGAGAGCTGCAAAATTACAGTGGTGATGCAATGGGAATCAATGAACATTTTCACCTGAATTTCCACTGGTCTTTCTCTTCAACCAGTATCACCTTGATAGTCTCTGAATATTCTTTAAAAGATGAAGATGGTGTCTATTTCTCTAATAAATACGCATACACACATTTTTTTGATATATGTGTGTATATACATTTATACAAGTATATATATATACACATATATACACATGTGTATAGTCTACATATGCATATATATATTTCTGTGTGCACTTTTACACACATAATGTCCTTTGGTTTATTTTCACACAGTTAATGAGAAATGAATTTTTGATGATTTCCATTTATTTTTTTCTTAAAATTTAAACTGGTTTAAAAAGACCTTCGCAATAAGTAATAAATTTCTTTTAAAAATCATAAATATTGTTACATTTAAAGCATTAAATAGAGAAGGTCATATGGTGTCAGAGAAGACAAATTCATGCCAACATGGGGAAAAAAAGAAAGAAAATGGGTTTTCCAGACTTCTCTCTTAAAGTTGTAACCTTCAGGGAATGGAAACTGGTGTTCTGGTATTGCTGGTTTTGAGGAAGGGAACTGTAGGCTTAGCTACGTGCTCCAAGGGAAGGGAGAAATGTAGCTAGAGTAGTTGATCAGTTCTTGGAAATCAAGTCAAACAAATGAGTCATTTCTTGGGAGTGGGTGGGCATTGGAATTGAAGATGAGGAATCCATCCTTGAGTAGGAAAACAAGGTGTCAACAGGTCAGAAAGCATTTCTATTTGAGAATGAAATGGTGTGGTGTCTTTTGGGGTATACAGGGGAGAGGAATGTATCAGCTTTAGATGACCTGTTAAACACCATCATGAACTGCTTAGTTGCCAAGATGGTACCCGTGCTTTCCCTAACAAGGGCTTCTCTTGCTTTCTTCGGGCTCAAGTTATGGGGGATGAGTTGGCATTCCCCACTTTGGCAGAAAAGTCTCCATACAAATGAAGATCCAGTGAAGATGGCTGCTCTTAAATTCAGACATGCCCACTGCACTCTCCACACACCTGTGCCTGAACAGAGGCCATTGCCCTAACACATCAAAGAAATCACAACGTGAAGGAGTAAGATATTGCCCACTAAGCACATGCTTTGGAACTTAAAGCCCAAGTTCATACGTGGAAAGCTATAAAAAAACACTCACCTGGCCTCTTGCTCCCATCCGATTAAGAAGTTCCCAAATGAATTAGGAAAAGGAATGTTCCTGGGTTAAAAACTACCATGGTGTGTTGCCAGACCTGCCTTGCATTTCCCCATTTTGGATAGTTATGTGAGAAACCTCACAAAGTTGGGCTGAAATGAATTCTGTGCCAACTGAGAGTAATTTGGACTTCTCTAGAATATTTTACCCTAACTCAGAGCAATAGCTGGTGAAAGGACAGCCACGCTACATAGGTTTTATATTTGCCATGCTGGCTGAGTAGGAAAAGTTATGGTGTTGGCATTGGTGGTAAGATTTCCAATGCCCATGCTGTTTTACTCTTCCTCCTCCAGTAATTAGAGTTCTCATAGATGGTGTCTTTCAAATCATGCCACCTTCATCTACGTCGCTAAAAAATCTTGCTAAATTCAAAACATCTTTCCCAAAGCACTTACAGCATCCCTTGTGCTTTAAGAGATTCAGAACTCAACCTTGGTCATAAGCTTTGATTTTTTTTTTAATCTAATGGGTCAGTTGAGACCATAAATAGACGTTCTTGGAGTCAATGTGTGTAGCTTTATAAATGCATTGTCTTCTCTTCTCAGATCTGAAAAAAATTGAGGGGAAAGTTGTCCAAGCTTTTTTTTTTTTTTTTTTTTTTTTTTTTTTTTTTTTTTTTCAGGATATCATCTATTTGAGTGACACAAATAAAGAACCTAGAGTCACAAATAGAATGTAGATGTTGGTGGGAACACTGTATTTGGGGCAGAGAATAAAAAAAGATTACTTCCATTGTAAAGAAAATAATCATTGACAATGAGTGAAGCTTCAGATCAAGAAGTTGGAATTGCTAGGTGCCTGACAAAGAATGGAGCAAGGACAGAGAGGCGGAGATGGGAAGAGGGGAGGCGCCGGAGCCAGGGTGCAGCACTAGTTCTTGTGCAGGATGCTTTTCAGGCTTCTCTCTACAGCTTCATCCAGCTCTTCCTCCAGCTCCTCCTTCTTCGACATGGCCAGCTTGGACTGGTAATCCCTCACAACCTGGTCAATGTAAGGGGCACTCTGCGTGCCATGCAGCATCAGGGTCCACTCCTTCAACAGCCCCTTCTGAGGTGTGCCCCCGACAAACCCCAGCTCCAGGGTCCAGGTTCCTCGGGCGTCTTCCCCCCACGTGTGGGTGGTCATGAAAGGCCACTTGTCAAAGCCCACCTTGGAGTCATCATCCCTTGGACGCCGGCTCAGCAAAATGGACTTGGTGCCCATAGGGGAAGTCATGTTGATATTCAGATCTCCCCTCCTGGTTGCATTGACTGTGATGACAGCTTGGACATGCTCAAGGTAGCGGACAAAATTTTCCTTCCCTTCACACGCATCAGTGGTGAGAGTAAGCACCAACTTGCCAATGGATGGTATTTTCCTGAGGGCAAAGCAATGAGGGGATATGGTAAGAAATGTGTATATTACACGAGGGTTTTCTGAAGACAGCTTCAGGTTGCAGAGAGAGCAAGAGCTTTGAGGTTAATCAGTCAGACTTGGGTTAATTCCTACCTCAGCTGTATGAGCCTCAGCAAGTTACCTATTATCTCTGAACCTTCTGTGGGGAAAGGGAATGTAGCAGATCTGTTGATGCGCCTCCCATTTCTCCTAAGTCACCTCTGAGTTCCCCTTCAGATGCGACTCCCATGTACCCTGGCTGCTTCCTACCTTAGGTATCAGCATCTCCCAGCATCTCTCCTGGAACTTTTCCATGTTATGTGGAAATTTGCTACAAACAGCTACAAGTGACAAGGATTTAATTCCTGAGGGACAATCCTCTACCGGGGACTGACAGAAGGTGGTGAATAAATATATCCTAATATCTCCATTCTTCAGTGGGACAACTCAGTGTCCCCAGTGGGACTGAGCCTAGTTGCCAATAGTGGACTATTAGTTGCTCATCAATGTACTCTTTATTGGCTTTTATTCCTCTTCCCTGTCTTACATATTCACTTCCCCACTTGTATTTCCTGGAATCGTCTCTCAAAAAATTGTCCAAAGTGAGACAGGAGCTCATAAGACTTTTCTTTTAAAGTGTTAAGTTCCTTATTATTGATAATGTGAGTGTTATTATTATCATAAAAAAGCTGAAATTGGGTTAATTAATCCTAATGAAGAACAGTCTTTTGAAAGATCAGGGAAATTTGGGAATCTCTTTGATCATAGAATTAGAATCCAAAGAAGGGTCAACTTCAGCATTTCAGCTATCTTTCCATACAATCAATCTCCTTTGATGGTGTGATGGGAAGACTCTAGATTTTGAGAGTCTTCTAGAACAAAACTATCTGTGCAAGGTTTCTGCTTCTACACATACTGGTCAGGAAACAAGTCATTCAAATACCTGAAAGTCTCACTGACACTATGTGTGAGTTTAAATAAGACTGTGCATGAAAACTCTGAGCATGGTGCTAGTTCCCCTTCCTGGCCTTTTGCCTATGTTAATATTCTTCTTTGACATGGCTTTTATTTTGGAGCATAAAATGGTGAATATTTTAAGATACAAATCTTGAGAGAACATCTACAAAAAGATACTGGCCACACACCTGGTTCAGACCCAAGCCTTGGTTCTGCATTGACTTTGGAGCCAAGGCCATGGACGTGAAGCTTATCCTGCAGCTCACTGATAAAAGCAATAGTCTCCTGAGAAACTGAAAAGATATACTTAACAGTTTTATGGAGTGTTGCTGTGTGCAGTCTGCAAGGATGCTGATGCTGAATAGTGCATGCAGCATCCATTGGCCATGGAGCTCCAATGGTTATCCCAAACACCAGGCAAATATGAATCCAAAATTCTATGAGATTATTGTCTTTCCCCTTTTTCTACCAGGAGTGTCTAAGTCATGAGTGAGAGGGAAAGGTAAAGTTGCACTTACTGAGCGCCTACTGTGCACCAGCTTTATGCTGATTATCTCACTAAAGCCTCCCAGCAGCCTGCTGAGGACAGAGACATTAGCCCCATTTTACTGGTGACAAAAGAAAGAAAAAGCTCTTGTTTTGGGGCCCCTAAGGGCAGAATTCAAGGGTCATGTCAAAATATGTATACTCCCTACATCTTAATTTTTACTAATTTATAATGGAAATAGCTTCTTTGATTATGAAGGCAGGCCATATGCTAGAGTGGTATTACCTCTGAATTGTGAGAAGGCTCTGACTCTGGCCAAGCTCAGATGACCAATAGAAATAAGGCTGGGATGAGATGGGATGGTTAGAAATGGATTTACCACAATTAGAATGCCAATATCTCTGAGGTGTACCCTCACAGTGGAATATGACACAGCGATGGGAGTGAATGAGATATTACTACACATAATAACTTGGATTGATCTCACACTCATAATGTTTAGTCAAAGAAACTGGATACCAAAGTGTCCATACAATATGATTTAGTCAGATGAAGCTCAAAAACTGTAAAGCTAATCTTTGGGGGCAAGAATGAAAACAATTGCTGTCCATGGGATGTTGGGACTAACTAGAAGGGGGAATGAGGAATCTTTCTGGGGTAATGGAATGTTCCAGAGATTTATTAGATGGAGGTTACTGGGGTGTATACATTTATCAAAACTAGAATAATACACTTAAGTTCTATACATTTTGTTGCATATACATAAAACCTTAATTAAAAATAACAATGATGAAAATTTCCATTTCTACTTTACTGATTATCCAATGAGGAAAGGAATTAAATAAAGAGGACCATATTGTCCAATCCTCTTGCCATAATGGGAAATAGGTTCATGTGAGCAGCGCAGTGGTTTCTGGGTAAGGAACTTCTCACTTAAATCCTTTCAAATGTCTATCCACTTCACTTGGAATAAAATCAAATGCTTACCTTGTCCCACAAGTAGAATGAATAAATTAATTGTGTTATAGTCACACAAAGGAACGTTATTCAACAATGAGAATAAACATGCTTGAATCTCAACATAATTCTGAGCAAAACAATCTAGATATGAAGGAGAACACAGTGTATTATTCCATTTATGTTAAGTATGAACTAGGGACTAAAGTAATCTATGGAGTTAGAAGGATGGTGGGGAGATTATCGTGGAAGGGGATGTGGGGTTTTCTGGGATATGGTTGTGTTCTGTTCTTTGATCTGGGAGCTGGTTACCCTGGTTGGTTTTTGCAATGAAAAATAATGGCATAAGGCACCAAAACAGTTAATGCTCACACCTAAAAGTAGGGGTCCTGAGCCACACAACTGTGTTCTATGTAAATGCTCCCCCTCCCCAGGAGTTGTGCATTGCTATAGCTCTCTCTGCAAGCTAGTTGTTCCTAAGTCAACTCCAGGACATCTCCCTGACAGAGAGGGAATCTGATACTGTCGCTAATGCCATGGCACCATCTCTGGGACATTTCCACATGCAGCAGCAGAACCATGGTACCCACTTACTCAGGGTCCTGCACAGAGCCGCCCACACAGTGGAATCTCTCTGGCACCGTTTTCCAGTCTTTAGCCATCTTCACCATGGCGCCTGCGTCAAGGACCCCGTAGCCAAAGAGGTGATTAAACTCCAGGCCGACCCCATTCCGCCGCCACTGATGAACCTCATCATGAAGCTGGTTTCGTTTGGAGGTGAGCACAGTCAGGTGCTGCATGTCTCTCCAGGTAAGACCCAGACTGGATGCCGGAAGCCATTGGAAAACAAGAGAAAAGGGGAGGGCGAGAGAGGAAGAAAGACACAATGACTAAGATAGGACAAAACCCCCTTGCAAGATGTTGGAATATCTATGAACCCCCAGGTCAAGGGAGAATTTCCATGTACTATTTAGAACCATTTTATATTTGTCAATTAGAAAAACACACACTGGTCTTTCTTACTTAAATGCATTTCAAATGTGCATTCTAACCCACACACTGGAATGGCTAAAAAGACTGACAATACTAAGCATTGGCAAAGATGTGGAGCAACTGGAACTCATGGACTTTGCTGACAGGAGTATAAATTATTGCAGCCAGTTTGGAAAACTTCTTGGCTGTATCTTCTAATGTTATCCATATACTTAAGCTACGGCCCATAATTTCCATCCTTAGGTATGTATCCAACAAAATTGTGTGTATACATTCACCAGATATATGTACAAGAATGTTCACAGGCCCAAACTGTGAAGCCCTCAAATGCCCATCCAGAGTAAATGAGTAAACTAGCTGAGGTGTACTTATAGAATGTGGAATACTATAAAGCAACAGGAATGAATGAACTATAGCTACTCCGAATAATATGGATGAATCTCACAAACAGAATGTTAACCTATGGAACCCACAGACTGAGGAGAACATATTGTATTATTCCACTTGCTTAAAGTATAAAAACAGGCAACATTAATCTATGTAGTTAGAAATTACATCTTGATCGGGGAGGGGACATAAAAGTCTTCTGGTACTGGCAGTGTTGTTTCTTGATCTGTTTCTTCATTTGTGAAAATGAAGCTATCAGTTCTTCAAGGGCAGATACAATGTCTTCTGCATATTTTTATCCTCAGTGTCCAGGTCACAGGACACAGAACTGCCATTGTCACACTGTCCAGTGAATAAACAAGTCTGCTTGAAAATGCTATTGGTTTTGGAAATTAGTGTCTGATGTTGCTCAGTGTTTGTGTGTGTGTGTGTGTGTTTTAAATAATATTTTTTTATGGATTTCAAAGATGAAGGGAGAAGGAGAGAGAGAGAAAAATCAATGATGAGAGAATCATTGATCAGCTGCCTCCTGCACACTCCCCACCGAGGATCAAGCCTACAACCCAGGCAAGTGTCCTTGGCCAGAATCGAACCTGGGACTCTTCAGTCCGCAGGCTGACACTCTATCCCTGAGCCAAGCCTGCTAGTGCAGTGTTTGTGGTTTTTTTAAAACAGCAAGTCATGACCTATTTGTGGCTAGGAAATCAACTTATGGCACATGTTGCTTACCTAGGATGCACATAACAATCTTCTGGTGGGACATTTAAAATCCCACTGCCCAGGCCACACCTCAGACCAATTAAATCAGACTTTGCAGGAGTGGGACCCAGGTATTGTAAATCGTTAGCATTTTCTCAATCATTCCAATAGAGTAGACAGTTAAATTTGAGAACTAATGATTTAATGGATGAGACTATTGTTAAAAAAGTAAATGGTATAGAATAGAAAAGAACAGTATGCATTTCATATAATATAGAAAACTATTTTTTTTTTTTGGAACTTTTTGTGTGTGTGTGTTGAGTAACAACGAAAAAATTTATTTCTTACTGAGAGTCTGGTAAAAAAAAAGTTGGAAAATACATGCACTATGGTTCTCTTCAGAAGTCAAATAATTAAAAGGACTAGGAACAACATAATTCTTGATAAACTTTTAACATATGCAGTGTTCATTGGTTCAAAGCTTTGAATCAGAATCAAAAGATACTAATGATTCATTAAGCAAGTTGATGAAATACTGCTGCTTTTGAAATGTAGGTATTTAGATTTTAAGGAGAAAATTGCAAGGAAGGTCAATGATTATTTGAGAAAATTAAGAACATATCTTGGACATATGATCCCCAGGATGCAGGAAAAGGTGTGACACTTCCTAAAGTTGATATGACCAAAAGTTCAGTGTTTTGTCAGAATGGGATTCTGTATTCATTAAACCCAGAAGGGTTTATGATTAATAAGTGAAGGATCTGGTGACTTTGAGGTGACCTGAGAGCTCTTGGCAGGTGGAGTATCTCTTATCTATGCTAGGGGTCTGCCACAAAATGTGCTATGCTTCCTGATATTCGGAGAAGGACCCCCTCAACATTTCTCTAAGGACTGATTTTCATGGGTACATGAGAGGGAGTGTCAGAACAAGAATCTTCTGAAATAAACCAGAATATAGCACACATTTCAATTTGTATATGCAGAAAAATAAAACTGCATCCTTTGTAGTTCCCTCTTTTGAGCAATTTCAGAATTAACATAATGCACTGTTGTGTAAAGCAGCAGTATTTTATCAACTTGCTTTTAGCTTTAATCCTATCACATCAACTCAAGAGCATCTTATATATCTATCCTATATAATAAAACCCAGAACCATAATGGCAGAATGACCAGTCACTATAAGGTGCACTGATCATCTCTCAGTCCCTCCCCACTACTGGCAGGCTCCCATTGCCATATGGCGAATAGGAAACTGGCATGAGTGGTGGCAAGGTAAGTGGTGGGTGAGGCCGGCTGCCAGCAGCTGACCCTGATCTCAGGCTAGGCCAAGGGACCATACCAGTGCACCATTTTGTGCTCCAGGCTTCTAGTTAAATAATAATAAAAAAAAAATTTACAGAGTATCTACAATATAAAGATCTCTGTGGTGTAGGACAAGTAATATGACATGTTCTTTCTGGTCTCAAATATTTTATGTAACAGTTGGAAAAATAAGACACATATGTAAAAAAGTACAGCATAATGAAGTGATTCCATGAATGCCTATTCAGTGTCCACCATGTCCAGGCACTGTAGAGGAAGGTCTAAGCTTCAATATTTAAAAAGGGACAAAACCACAATGAGATATCACTCACATCTGTTAGAATGGTTATTATAAAAAGACAACAAATTCTGGCAAGGATGTGGGGAAAAGGAAACCTGTGCACTGCTGGCGGGAATGTAAATTGGTGCAGCGACTATGGGAAAAGACATGGATGATCTTCAAAAAATTAAAAATAGAACTACCATGTGATCTAGCAATTCCACTTCTGGAATATATACAAAGGAAACAAAAACACTCACTTGAAAAGAATTCTTCACCCCCCATGTTCATAGAAGCATTATTTATAATAGCCAAGATTGGAAACAATCTAACTGTCCACTTATAGATGCATGGATAAAGATGTTTATCCATTATGTATAAAATGAAATATTATTCAGTCATGAAAAATAAGGAAATCCTGCCATTGTGACAACATAGATGGAGCTTGAGCATACTTATCTAAATGACACGTTGGACAGAGAAAGACAAATATATATAATCTCATTTATATGCTAAATCTAAAACAAACAAACAAAAGAAATCATGAAAGGGAAGCTAGGATGTCCAGGAAGCCAACAATGGACCCTTTGTTATTCCAATAAGGGGGATTCAGAATGTGGTCCTCAAGTCCCTGTGTCAGAAGAACAGGGGTGGGGGTTGGGGGGGGGAGGACGAAGGGTACTGACAAAAAGCAGATTGAGCCTAAGAATTTGCACTTAAGACAACATGATGATTCTTCTGCACACAGATGTCTGGAACATTGGTCTAAGATGGCGGTTCTCAACCTTGGCTGCATGTGAATCAAACGTCAAAAAAATAATGATGTTACACAGGCCCCAGGAATATTGATTCCATGTGCTTGTCCAATATGCAGCCAAAAACGTAAGCAAAGCTGATCCAGAGGGGTGATTCCTACCTTCCTGGGCAGCACGTGGCTGTTTGCTAAAGTTGCAGCTTTCCAGGCATGACCCCGGAGAGTCTGAGTCGTGGCTTTGGATATATTTTTCATAAGCACTGCAGGGATTCCCATGATTGGAAAATCTGAGAAACTTTGGTCCAGGGGGTCATCAAGCATCTCTTAGAAGTAGCATTTCAAGCCAAGGTCAAGGGGATGAGTATCTTTCCTGAGTGGAAAGATAGGGAAGGGGAAGGCTCTAGGGGAGAGAAGGTTCTGAAACGAAGGATTTAGAGGTGAAAGAAAGCTAGCAAGCATTGTGCAGGTGATAAGCTTGAGAAAACACAGGAAGGCATGAGCCCCAAGTATGACAGGAAGGGAGAGCCAGGAATTGTAAGGCAGGAGAGGATGACAGGCCATTCACTCACATCAGTACACTGGGACTTATCTCAGGGACAGCCAGTAGTGGCAAAGTTGAGATATGATATGATTTCTTTTTTTTTTTTTTCTTTTTTTTTTTTTTTAGTGATCTGATCTTTATCGACAATTCCATGGAGAATGGAATCAAGAAGTGTGGGACTGGAGCCTTGGGCAATTTTCTCAACAGTTAGAGCATTGGCCCTTGAACAGAAGAATCTCAGGTTTGATTCCCAGTCAAAGGCATGCACCTTGGTTATAGGTTCAACCCTGGCCCCAGTCGTGGTGTGAATGGGAGGCAGCCAAATGACGTGTTTCTCTCACTTCAATCTCTCTCTCTCTCTCTCTCTCTCTCTCTCTCTCTCTCTCTCTCTTTCTTTCTCCTCTCTCTCTTCACCCTCCCTTCCACTCTCTAAAACTCAATGGAAAAACTATCCTCAGGTGAGGAATAAAAAAAGAAAAGACATGGGACTGGAAAGCAGGCCCACACTAATGACAGGTTGCTGCAGGGGTATGACCATAAGGAACAAAGCTGGGAGCTGTTACAAGGCTATGCATGAGTAAGTCCCAGGCAAATTATCAATGAAAACTGTTGCACTTGTACAGCTGGCTTCAATCACTTACAGAATCCTGCAGTGCTCCAGGGATAAACACACGTTTGCTAGATTGGTCCTAGGCCACTCAGAGACAACCAGGTGGCTCTCAATTTAGAGTAAGTACCTACAGAAAGCAAAATGGAACCCAGGGCTTCTCGAGGAGACATCCTTCACTCTATATGGCAAGAGAGAGCCTTAAATTCATGACCATTGCTCTAAAACAAAGTGTGCCTAAATGGTGACTGAACTCTCTTCTGGAAGGATATCTACAAGCGTGTGCTCAAGAAAGCTGGTGCAGAGCCCATGAATCCAGTAGCCTTGCTCCATCCATTTGCATTGTTCCTTTGCATGCATATAAGACTCTGCAAGTGGTTTTTGCTTGTCAAAAGTCCAAGGAGACTTTGAGGCAAGTTCTGTCCTCTTAGATTTAAAGGGAGAGCAGAAACTCCTTGCTTTTGGAGTTCTCCTGCTCCCTGTTCTCTGCCTGGCTCACCTGCTTGTCTGCTCCCAGCTGGAGTGAGCAAAGCCAGCTCAGGCTCCAGGGCACAACAAGCTCTGAGATGCACAGTTTCATCTGCAGGAAATGCAGATAATCTGTGAGTAGGTTTTGCTCTCTATGCTTAATAGAAACTCTTTGACTGGTGTCTATCCCTCGGCGTCCTAACATTTCCACTTAACTTTTGTTAGAATATTTGAAGTTTGGCTTGGTCCAAAAAGAGGAGTCACTCTCACTATGGGACCTTAATTGTAAAAGAAGGATGTTTATGCCTTTTCAGCTTGAAGGCAGAGGGTTGGATTAGATTATCTTTCAAAATCTCTTCCTATGCTAGGAATCAATTCTTGCCTCTTTTGCAAGTCAAAAACTGCATTTGTGGAGAGAGACAAGCAGGGTTGCCTTGAGATTGATGCTCAAAGATCCAGTTGCCTAGCAACAGCTGAGGAGAGTTGGGAGGTAGAGACTCAACTCTGCTTCCCCAGGCACCCGAATCCAACTCCTCACAAGTGGTTGGTGCAGCATTTTCAGACAACTCCCTACATTGTGGTGTTTGCACTTATACCGAGTGCTTGTGCCTGAAGCCCACATGTTCATTGCTTAAAAACAAGGCTAGTCTCTGGCTTTCACTGAGAGAATATAGAATAGCAGGTTGTCAAGTACCTCAGCTGATATATCGAAAGTGTGCCCAGCAGTAGGGATATGTGTCCTCGCTCTGGAATGGTGAGAACAGAGAGGATGGTCTCCTCTTGCCTGTAGCTTGGAAGGTTTCCCAGTAAAGCCCATTTCTTGGTCAATACTGCGTGACTGCCCATCTTGTCCCAGTGTTAAAAGTGAATTCACCTTATAAGTTAACAAATCTTGAGTTGGAGCACCCTATTTGACACATGTTCTGAATACCTTGCTAGATACCCAGCTTGAAAATGGTTTTATTTCACTTAGCTGATGGTGAGTATTATTGAAATAAAATAGCCACCGGATCATCCAGAGGATAAAGAGAAGTTTTATGAAGAAGAGATGACCTACATACCCCTTTTCGGTATCTGAGAAAGTAGCTGATATGTGTGGTGGGGTGTCAATGTCCTGTACTCTCCTAGGGGTCCACCAGGACTCTCCCAAGTGTGATTGCGTCAGCATTTCTTTTCTGTTCAGGAAGGAAAGGTACTCCGGAAGAGGGAAGAATAAAAAGGCTCAGCATCAAGCTTGCCTAAGAGGACAAGCCATTAAAAAAATGTTTCCCGTTCTAGCCAGTTTGGCTCAGTGAATAGAGCATTGGCCCACAGACTGAAAGGTCCTGGGTTCTATTTTGGTCAAGGGCATGTACCTGGGTTGTGGGCTCACTCCCTGGCCCTGGACAGGGTACATGTAGGAGGCAACCAATTGATGTGTCTGTTTTATATTGATGTTTTTCTCTCTCTGTCATTTTCCCTCCCTCTTACTCTCTCTAAAAATCAATGGAAAAATATCCTCAAGGTGACGATTAACAAGCAAACAAACAAAAAAATGTTTCTCCACATCTAAAACTCATGGAGAGATTCTGAGACATGTTGAGTTAATAAAATGGAGATATGTGATCACCTGCATAACTTTTCTTAAGGGGGAGACTTTAATGATGAGCTGAGTTTCAGAGAACTTTCACAACAGAAAAACTTCACTTTCAATGTTTATGAGCGCCAGGGTTTTCAATAAAACATGTCTGAACCACAGGAATTCTTTCTCCTTTGTTTGTCTGTAGGATTCTCAAGTGGGCCTATTGTAGTTTTGTGGTGTGTGTGTGTGTGTGTGTGTGTGTGTGTGTGTATGTGTGTATGTTCAGGCTCTTGCATCCACTTTCGCCTCCATGGACATTTAGTGATGGGTGGAGAGACACATGTTAGTCCACCTTACAGAGATGACCCTCAGCTCGAGCTGGAAACATACTTAGCCTCTAAAGCCAGAGCAAACACTCCGGCGGCCTCTGGAGCTGCTGCAGATGTCCCAGAATGCCTCAGAGTGCAGTTGCCATACAAGTCTGTGGTTGCCTGAAAGGGAAGATATTGAGCAATGAGTCACACTATTTTGAATCCCAAAACAATATGGAGCAGAGAATGATCTAGTTTTTAAAATTTAAACTCTTCCTTGTTCTGAAGAAGATTAAGATGAAGGTAAGGCTAAATTTAGCACCCCAACATCTATTTTAAACACGCATTTTATCTGAGTTTCCTAGTAGCCTATGCAAAAAGGGACACAATCAATTAGAGTTACAGTGTCCACAAGATAAAAGCAAGCTAGTTGCTCCAAGAAGCACTGTCTGCATCTATTCCAGAGACCAGGGAGACATTTTCTGAATCCTAAAATGAGACATGCTAGGTGGAGAGGCACAAGCCAAGAGTTTTATTGTACTGGGATCATCGTTCAGAAAGCCCAAGGGCTATTGCATTAACATTTCTTTTCCATTCAGGCACTATATCAAAGAGGGAAGAATAATCAGCTAAGGCTTGCTTAAAAGGACAGGCCATTAAAAAGAAAATGTTTCTCTCCCTCTGAAATTTATGGGAAGATTCTGAGACATTTTGAGCCAAGATAACAGATATGTGAGTGATCACCCCCACAACTCTTATTAACGGGGAGATCTTCTCAATGACCAAACAAGTTTGAAAGAACTTTCACAAAGAGAAAAACCTCACTTTCAAATGTTTGGGAGGGCCAGATTTTCATTAAAATCATGTATGAACCACAGGAATTCTTCTTCCTCTGTTTGTCTGTAGGGGAGAGTGTAACTAACTTAGTGGGTCTATTGAACCACCTCCCACATTCTTGGCTTGGAGGTCTGAGGAAAGGCTGATCTGTGAGTGAAGGCTGATCCAGAGAGAAGAGATCCGAAAAGGCTCATTACACTGTACAGAGTTTTATTTCCAAGGGGTTTGGAAAAAGTCACCATTATACCTAGTTGCCTAGGAAGGAAGAGTTGCTCAGAAAAGTGCAATCAATAATCTAAGTCTGGTCCTGGCCGATGTTGCTTAGTTGGTTGGGTGTTGTCCTGTGCATGGAAAGGTTGCTGGTTCTATTCCCAGTCACATGCCTGGGTTTTGGGCTTGATCCCCGATGGGGGGGGGGGGTGGAGGAGGGAAGAGCACGAATCTCTTTTGCTTTCATACGATGATTCTCTATTTTCCTCTCCCTCCTCCTCTCTCTAAAAATCAAAAGTATTAAAAAAAATCTAAGTTTGTGATTAATATTTTATTTTCTTAATCACTGACCTAGGATGAAAACCACTACCCTCCCACATGTGCCCAGTTTTGAGAGGTTTATAGACCCAGAAAAGTCCATCCTTCAATTAAAAAAAACTACTATAATACCTGGGTGGGTTCTTGGCTCAGGTGGGTGGTGATGTAGTGACCCAGTTCTTTATATTAGTTTTCCTTATATTAGGTGACCTGGCGAGGCAACTTTTTGATAAACCAGACTTTGTCATATTTCGCAAATCAAACAATCAACTTCAAGAAAGACAATCAGGCCAAAACCGGTTTGGCTCAGTGGATGGAGCATCAGCCTGCAGACTGAGGGGTCCTGGGTTCGATTCTGGTCAAGGGCATGTACCTTGGTTGCAGGCACATTCCCTGTGTGGGGGTGCAGGAGGCAGCTGATTGATGTTTCTCTCTCATCAATGTTTCTGGCTCTCTATCTCTCTCACTTCCTCTCTGTAAAAATTCAATAAAATATATTAAAAAAAAAAAAAAGAAAGACAATCAGTGGAAAATGAACTGCAAGGGGGCCATCCCATCCTTGCTTTCAATTTTCACGTCTTACATTTCTCTGCCATGATAACAAAGCATTATTAGCCCTGGAGGAGAATGGATCTCCTCTCAGAACCTGAACTGACGTTTTAGGGAAACGGGTAGCTCCCTCTCCTCCCATGACGTCACAGTGTGCATGACGTCACAGTACCTTGCATTCCACAACCTCACAAAGGGTCAGTGGCCTCACTCACCACTCCGGCCTCGGGGTTGCTCTTTCTGCCATTGCTGAAAGTGGAGGCCAAGGTGGAGGAGCAACTCTCGTCATACAAGGCCGTCCTACCATCGTTGATGGCTGAGTTGATGGAGATGGTCCACATGCTAGAGGCATAGCCATCGCAGTTGCAGTCATCGTAGCTGCCGCCGTCCCCAGAGGCCCACACGTAGATGCTGCCTTTGCCGCCTCGGCCCTGGGGGAGGACAAAAGAGATGCTGCCAACACCCCTGGGAATCAGGGACTGAAGGAGGTCCTGCCAGGTGTTGGGGATTCCCCATCGGTGGAACTGGACTTGAATTTCCTCAGCAGCTCAACCAAATGACTGGATTCGGTTCTGTCTGCCCATAAAAACCACTGTCTTCTAGTGAGTCACCAAGAATACTTTTTCCCCAGTAAGGATTCATGATATAAAGTTATCTGAACTTACAATTTAAGCTGGGAACAAGGTGATGAGAAAAAACTGGGAGAATCTTGGTAACATTTATAAATGAACTGCTTTTAAAAAGTCAAAATATATGAAAATGAAAATGAAAAAAACACTCCCTAGGTGAAATCATTATTATCCAATTCTTATGCATCCTTTCACTCATTTTTCAACAAAAATGTAAGTATACATATATATTTATATTTAGCTATATAAAATAGAAAAAAATTTATATCTCTTATTTTATATATAGTTACATACCCTATATATAAAATTTTACATACATGTAGATATTATGATGATAAAATACACATTTAATGCCAAAATGTTATTACAAATCATACAGGTATATACAATATGTATATATACATGTATGTATGCACACACATACTATATGCATGTAAAAACAAATATAGATATATATGTATACATGTGTGTATATATGCCTACATACATGTATAATTTTTTTACCCAATTGGATCATACCAAATTTTTTAAACATGATATAATATGACATTTTACTTATGCCAGGAAACAGCGAATATAGGAAAGAAGTCTAACATGATCAAGTAAAACAGAGCAAAAATAACTTTAAATACATAATAATATGCACAATGTTATTACCATATGCTACTTAGTTATAAATGCCAGGCTTAGTCATGAATACTGGTTAATGTTGCTTTCCTGGCTTAACCAGAACTTTTACCATTCTCTGTTTTCTAGGAGTATTTTCTCCACTTTCATCTCTCAGGAGTAGCCATTCCTCCTAGTTTCATATTCTGATCCAGGGTGAGGGTGGGGCTGCTCTGTTTTCCCCTGCGGGCTGAGTGGAGGAGAGGGGCACAGTGATGCTGTGTGGGAGGTGAGCAGCAGTGTACAGCCTCCCCCTTCTCCTTAGCCTGGCCCAGGCCAATAGGTAACCCTCTTCTGGGAAGGCAGTTCTGACAAATAGGGGTGAGAAGACAAACAGAAGCCATGGCAGAGACAGACTGCTCCTGCATGGCCCCGGGGACCCACAGTCCTGACTCAGTGGTTTTTAAGGACAGAGATGCCAGAAGTAAAGAAGATGACTGGACCACCTCCAAGCTCTCTCTGTCTCCTTTCTGACCATGAGAAATGACATTTCAATAGCTTCTAATAGGCCTTGGAGTTAATTAGCCTGTGATTGATTGAGTCGATACGTTAACAAAGATTTATTCAACCACTAGCTGAAAACTGCCTGAGGGTAAATCTAGACTGGAAAACTCCACCAAAGTAAGCAACTGCTCTTAGGAACCAGGACGGAGAAAGAAATGGATCATCCTGACAGCTAGTGTAGGAGATCACACTCCCAAACAGACTCAGATGTGGGCTCATTGTCAAGAAATGGCAGCTTGTGAAAGTGAAAAATATGCAAATGAGGGTAATGGATCTTTCCCCTGAACCAGTTTACAGGTGGGCTGCTGGTGAGACGAAGCATCCTTTGCTGAAAGGAAATCAATGTTAAGAGTGTTTTCACCTTGGTGTAGGGAGAGTGTTAGATTGATTGTGACTAATTTTTCAAGGTTCACTTTAAGACTTTGCAAGTCCTGCCCACCGAGAGGAGGGGTTCACTGCCCACGCTTGATTTTGGCTGGCCTCTAGTCTCGCTTTGGCTCATAGACTGTGGTGGAGAGTGATACTGTGTCAGTTCTGAGCATGAGTCTCAAGAAGCCCTAGACACTTCTGTCCCCTCAGAACTCTGTCTGCACCATGGGAGCAAATCCGAGGTTCCCGACGGTCAATCACCGATATAGCCCAGTCAAATTCACTGCCTCTGCTGACAGCCAGACTTGCGAGGGAGGCCATTCTAGACCAATGAGTAGTTCCCCCTCTAGCTGACCACAGATGCATGAGCGAGGCCAGCTGGGATTAGCAGAGGCTGTTCCAGGTCTGCAGAACAACCCAGCCAATTTGTAGACCATAAGTAAACGTAAATGGTGGTTATTTTAAGCTACTAAGTTTTGGGGCACTTTGTTATGTGGCTTAACTCACGGATACACAGGGAGCAATTTTTCTGAAGAGTAAACAGCAAGTGTTATTTGTATTGTATGTGAGTATGCTATTTGCCCACAGAAATACTTTGGTTCCTAGGAATACTAAGCTTCATTTTCTAAGCAAGATAGAACACATAAGGCAATGATAATTATATCCTTGTTTTAATGACTGAGTATTAGAACCAAATAGTTCCAGGGTAAGACAGGCCAGTGAGACTGCTGGTGGGAAGGCAGCCTGGTGCAGCCACTGTAGAGAACAGTATGGGGTTTCCTCAAAAAATTAAAAAATGGGACTTCCATTTGGCCCAGTGATCCCACTTCTAGGACTATATCCCAAGAAAACAGAAACACCAATCAGAAAGGATATAAGCACCCCTATGTTCAAAGCATCAAAATTCCCAATGGCTAAGATTTGGAATTAGCCTAAGTTCTCATCAGCAGATGAGAGGACTAGAAAACTGTGGTACATCTATACAACGGAATACTACACTGCTGTAAAAAAGAAGGAATTCTTACCATTTGCAACAGCATGGATGGAATTGGAGAGCATTATGCTAAGCAAAATAAGCCAGTGGGAGAAAGATAAATGTCACATGACATATATTTGACATACAATATTATTATTATTTTTGAAGATGGCAAATACATTTAGATGAAATTTAGTACAATGTGCAACTCCACTCTGAATTCTGTCTTTGAATCAGTCTCTGTTTAGCAGAATTAGTGCCTCGCTAGAGTTTTCACCAAACGAGATTGTTCACCCAGGCACTACCAACTGTATTTAACTACTGTATTTCCCAATGAGGGGCGCTTTGTGCCCAAGGGGTGTTTGACACCTTTGGAGACAATTTTGGTGGGCACAACTGTGTGTGCAGGAATGCACTACTAGCCTTTATACACAGCTGTTTGTGTTGGCATGCACTACTAGCCTTTAGTGGGTAGAGGCCAGGGAGACTACTAAATGTTTATAATACATAAAGCAGTCCCCCATGTCCCCACAGCAAAGAATGATCTGGCCCAAAGTGTCCATGTGCCAAGGCGGGTGAACTGCTCTAACTTGTTTAAGCACACCGAGTGTGCAGTTGCTGATTTTTAGAGCATAGCCTAAAGAGCCCCTCACAAACCCAACCTTTCTAAAAAGTTTATGCAGATTTTGTTCATAATGTAAAATGTCACAAATTACTTACCATCAGTCTAGATAAAGTTCCAGCTAGAGCTTGGCTCTGTGTCCCTAGCACGCACCTGTATCGCAGGAGGTGAAAATACTGCTTTGAGGAGCTTATGGCTGAAGTGAATCAGTCCCTATAACCAATGCCCAGTGACCTGGGCTAATTGCCAGACCAGGACCTGGCCCAGTGGTGTTATCTGCAGATGCTGGAGGCCAGTCTTCTGGTCTAGCTTACTTTTTCCTAGACACTCAACTATATTAAGTGTTATTTTCTAGTCATCTTGACATCATAATATAACTCTGATAGACTTAAAAAAGTTATTGTATATTTATTGTGAAAATCACATTCATTGTAGAATACTTAGTATACAAACTCCGAAGAAAAAAAATATCCTTTATAATCTTCCATGACTAGAAAATCACTGGCGATATTTTGTGGATTCCTGAAAGTTTTATATATATATAAATGCAAAGTATAAGAACAGGTTTAATAAATTGGGGTCATAAAAATATATCCATTTTTGTGGCTCTGCTTAAAATGTATTTCTTTCTATTATATCCTGAACATTTCCTTAATAATTAAATATTCTTGGGCACATAATTTTTATTAGTCTTATTAAATAGCCATTCCATAATTTACTCCTTCTCTTAGACATACATGGAAGGCTATTTCTAGATTTTAAAGTACTGCAGTGGACATAATTTTCTTTATTTTTTTGTTAATCTTCACCTGAGAATATTTTTTTTTGTTGATTTTTAGAGAGAGGAGTGAAAAGGAGGGAGCGAGGGAAGAGGAGAGAGAAATAGAAACATTGATGGCTCTCTTTCACATAGATTGGTTGCCTCCCGCATGCACCCAGACCAGGGCTGATTTGAACCTGCAACCCAGGTACATGCCCTTGACTGGGAATAGAACCCACAACCCTTTAGTGTGTGGATGGGTTCTCTAACCACTGAGTCACTTGGCTAGGGCATCTTTATTGCTCATCTTTCTTGCTTTATGAATAGCAAAGCACCAAGCTCCAAAATATAATATCCTTTGCCTATTTTTCCTTCATGATATTCTTTTTATTGATGTGTTAGAGCTCTATGTTAAGGCTCATAACCAAATTTCTATAATCTATATTTCATATATATTGACCATTTTTTTTCTTTTGTCTATTGTATTTAGACTTGCAGAAGTTTTCTTACTATATTTTAAATCTATTTTTTAAGAAATACATATTTAAAAATACCATACAAAACAATGTGTTGATGTACAAATATTGCTTTTCTTCACTTACAGCTCATGAAACAATTTCATTTAAGTTATTCACAAACGTATTTGACATTTGTGTTTGTCCTCACTATGTCACTGATTACGTTTTTGTCATTTAGCAGTTACTCTGGGCCTTTGTGAGAGTCATTGGTGCTGTTTGCCAAATATTTCTACCTGTCCACCATCCAGGCCTATGATAATGCTCTGTTTGGCTCATTTTAATCAATGAACTGTTAGTGGGAATGATTGACACACAGTATCATTTCTAAGCTGAACCAGTTACTGTTCAGCACAGTTCTCTCTTTCCCTCTGCACAATGATTGGCAAT